CCTGTGTGTATTGTCCATGTATACGTAAAAGAATTCAGTACCCTCTTCGGAAATGAGTAGGGGGTTTTCTCCCGGCGTATTACCCAATTCACATCCACTGGAAACAGATGTAAGTCATCGGAGTTTCGTTGATTTTCTTTGGTGTTTCGCACCAAAGAAATCCAATCTAATATTTGTACTGTGGACAGGCCTATTTCGTGGTAATATGCAATTAATAGGCATAAAAATAGGCAGTATACCATAACAATAGAAAAGGGCCTGCAAACGTTATACAAATTCAAATAAAAATGAGCATGAAATAGTGTATGTTACATGTGGTGGTGTTGACATTTTATTTAGTTAGTTCGTATATAGGACAAGTCAAGTTAGGACTTTCGTATTTTATACAACGATGAGCCAGATGATAAATTGGTTATATTAATGTTAATTTACTATCCCTCTATTGCTGATTTAACAGGTAGGAGCTTAAGGGGTTTAATGTGGAGATTAAAGGATTGTACTAAATAACTCAGTTTTGACAACGAAACGTATACATACATAAAAGAACGTCATAAACAGTGACGGGTCCAGGTGAAATCAGAAAAAAAAAACGGTATAACAAACAACCCTCAGATATATACATACATTGAAATATGTGAAGGAATCATCCTCAAATTCGATAAGATTGATTAAACATCACCAACGAAAATCTATGTTTTCATATTGTTATTTCTTTGAACTTTAGTATTTTTATTGTATGCGATTCCTGCCTAAAATGAGGACAAAATAAATCTGAATCTGAATTATGTGGGCTTAGTTTAGTTTCATCAGGGAGCAGTCATTCTATGTAATGTGACTGCTATTAGGTTTAACTGAGTTTATACACAATAATAGGCGTAACTAAAAATAGGCCTACACAAAATAAAAGAAAATAAGTACAGTAGACTAACAAAATTTATAGAGCTGTCTTCATCAGGTGAATGAAGTGAAAATAAACACAAGATCAAACTGTTCACTTGAGGAAGCTATAGCAAAAGCTTGTGTCTCAATAAATTTTATTAGTCAATAGAAGGTGCTACTATACTTTTTATTTGTATTTCATCTTACTGTATAAAGAGGCACAGAAAAAAAAAATTAAAAATAGGTAGAAAGGTAACAAGGTCCAAACTTATTCCATGGTAGACCTAACCCAAGAAAGTTTAAATTCATGAACCCTTTTCCGACGGCGTTTTCACTAACAAGCAACAGACCAACGTGATGCCGGTATTTAAAGAAAAGTATTTCCTCCATGGTTAGTCTTGATGAATCCTTACCGGTACCACGCCTGAATAAAGTACAGTAATTCCAAGCGAATTGAAATTTGCTATTGAGAAATCTATTGCAGAATAGACAGATTTATAAATTGGTAATGGATTTTTAAATTTAATAAAAAATTTAACAAAATAATAATTGTATGCCACACAAACCGGTACAGCACTTTCTGCGCTACTGGGCCGAAGCCTTGCAAACATGAAGTTGGCCCATTACCAAGAATAAGAATTTCGACCTTCAAATTCTGACTATACTTTGTTACATGAAAGTATTGTCTTGGGGTTTCCTCTCCAATCAAAGGGTTATTTGAGTTAAGTTAAAACAGCAATTTAGAGATTGTCAATACAAGTCGTTAAATCAGCGTCAACTGAAATGTTTCGATCACTGGAAGTTGATAACTTCTTTAATCTTTATAATTAACCATTGATTTTTTGTTAATTGAACGCTTTTAAAGGAGCAATTAAATTCTTCATAAATTAATTAGTCATGTCAATTCAAATTCTTTCATAGATTGATTCTCTCTAGAACGTTAATAGCCAACAGAAATTGTAAAATTGTATATGTTGGAGGTATATTTAATTAATCGTGTCAATACATATTCTCACAGAATGATTCTCACCAGAATGTTAACATCCAACGGAAGCCTTTTTAAATAAACCCTCTGTCATTGAATTCCTAAAAAATGTTATATATGACTGTGATATTGTACGGCATACGAAATATGAACATAGGCCTACACGATTACCTTGATTGACAATGGGGGTATGAATCTGCCTGAAGTTTGTTCAGGTGGGAAATTCAAATAAGAAATCCGGAGATATTGGATAACCTTGGCTGACAAAGGGGGCATGAATCTGCTTTTAAAGGTTTTCTCAGGTGGAAACTCCAAATAAAAAATCTGGAGATAACTATAACCTTGTTTGACAATGTAGGCCTGAATCTGCCTAACAACTGAGATTTTGACTTCACCAAAAACTACAGGGGATCCATTCACTAACGAAATATACACCGTGGGTACCTTAATATGTTATAAAGTAAAGACCTTGTATGGATTAGGTAAACAAAAATACGGTTTGATCTAAAGTTATTCTGAAATGAACCCAAAGGTTAAGAGGGCTACGATATGAGTTTACATGATACTAAAATAAGTATAATGTAGGCCTAAAACACAAAACAGAACATTTGGTAAATTAAACTTCAAACATGTTAACATTTCACATAGGTGATTTTTCGGCAGAGGCCTGCTTTTGCTTTACCATAAATGCCTACATTATTATCATCATAGGCCTAATAAAATGTCACCAAAACAAAGTGTGACCGTCCCCTACCCCTTGATGGGGAAAAATCAAGTCCGTATGTGCCATTTTCATCTAGAGGTGATACCACTTCCTGTCTTAACATCTACACTCTGTACGTTTGATGTAATCTGAACCCTCGATCTGTCAAAGTCTCTCCCTGTTTCCCCTTATATTTTGAAGTTTCTTGGTTTCTTTTTTTTTACCTAGTGATATATAGACACTTATATACGGGTGATGCATTTTAAAGAGTATCAATAAATTAAATTTAATTTAATTAAAGCTTCACTCAAATAAAAACTTTACAGGTTTGTCCCTCCAAGGAAAAATGTCCCGACCAACGCGTCTCACAATTTACGGCAATTAATATTAAATAAGTGTGTGATAAGCTAACAATTCTATAATCTATAAATCACCAATGGAGGCTACACCAGAGTTCAAATAACAAAAACTAACCACACTGATATAAGCACGTTCACATAAGATATCGTGATAAAGTTATCGTGATCTATTCATCATGATAAATTTAGCACGTTAGAGAAAACCGTTCACATAGAAACTGCATATTATCCTCGGTTTAAGACGGTACAATAAAATGAACAAATACAAAATATGACGTCATCAAAGTTTGCTTGAAGGATCTTTCTAACCAGTACAAGCTCAGTTACATTTTGTATTCATTTGTTTAATACAATAAGAAAGAACAAACATAGGCCTATATATATACATATATATATATCTATATATAATAAATAATATATATATAATAAATATCAATTAAAACTTTACATCTCTGGATAAAGCAGAAAACAAAAGAACTTACGTTTTAAGCTTTCGACTATCACTGTAGTCTTGTTCACAATGATACACGATGGAAATTGCGTCATAGGGATTGTGACGTCAGCGGTGAGGCTGGGTGGGAAGGGTCCTCATGGTTCCCCGCCTCCATATATGAGGCATGTTGTGGCAAAATGGCTAAGTTGTAGCAGAAATTGAAATTCAAGTTATTGGTCTTTTCAAATACCTGAGTATTTGATCTTTAAAATGAGGGGTCATTCATTCAAATTGGACATTTCAAACCAAAGTTATTGGAAAGTAAATGTACAGTACTCTTAGAGTCAAGATAAACAGGATTTTGAGTAATTGCCTTTCAAAGTTATTTGTGCATACATTGTTTAATATAATGAACTATGAAAAATAACGTCAATAAAACCTAAAGGCTGTCTCTTATACACATCTAGATGTGTATAAGAGACAGATATATAGGCGTATAGAATATTCCTATATATTAATTATATTACATAGGCATATGGTACATATATGATTTATACATATATAATATATGCATATATTTATATGTTTTTCGGGCCAATAAATGTATCTAAACCATGTTCATAAGCTCAGAGATGTTTTTAATTCTTCTGTAAGTTTCTTATTTTTTTTATATATAATTCGCGTGAGCCTTCGAATTAATCTAGATTAGACTCACTTCCATTAATTCCACATGCTGACTTAAAATTCTAGATATTATGTCACACATAAAGTAAACGCATAGCCTATACAAACGCATGCGTATAGGTCCATTGGTAGGCATTATGGCCTGGTATGCAGGGATGCTTCATCTGTTGGGCCTAATTTTAAATGTCATATAGTAGGCCTACACTTTTTTTTTATAAGAACCAGTAAAATTTTGCCCAGGCTCAGTGTTCTTATTTTTTGGCCAGTTTCAGGCTCAAAATGTTCTTATTTATTTCTTATTTTACACACTTTTTAAACATAGAAAATTATTATTGTACAGCAGTATACACTGTACTGGGAGGTAAAAGCGGCCCTGCAAAAAATGGCCCCTAAAAGAAAGGCCCAGCAAAAAATGGCCCCACAAAAAAAAAGGCCCTGGTTTAAAAATGGCCCCAAATGGGAGGTAGGTACACCTACTGTACTGTATTATAGAGGGTATTGCATAGTCACACCTACTGCACATAAGGTACATATATAATTTTTTGATTTTTCTAGCTTGACATTCTACCTCAGCCTCAATTTGTTCTTATTTTGTTCTTAATTTTTAAGCAATTTCAGCCTCAGTGTTCTTATAAAATGTTTTCTTATAAAAAAAAAAAAAAGTGTATATCAAGAACGTTCGGATAGTCGACGACTTGCCTTTAAATTCACCGACACACATGTATGAGCGTCCTTATTTGAGCTAATGCGATTAATATTCTAAACATAACCGTCAGATAATGAGCATTTCCACTTAAATGTGCATTACAATAAACACTGGAATATTATTATACGTTCACTTAACTTCCATTAATATAATGTTGTAATTGCTAGAATGACATGAAGGGCTATTTGTCATTACGGTAAGTGACGTCTGAAGCTAGAATAGAATTAATTATCAAACAAACTGATCCTTACCTCATTGATATCAGGAGCACGATCTTGACTTTACAAAGCCTGAATACTATTTTTAAAATCATTTACACTCTAACTAACTTACAGTCAGGTATTGGTTCAATAAAACCTAAAGGTGCATGATGCTTGATAGCCGGTAGTCCGCAATCAGGAAAAGCGAACTTTCGAAAGAAAGCAGGCGACTTCACGAATGCATGGGAGAAATACTCCAGCAGATGATTATTCGTTCATGCGACGTACAGGGTGAGCTATCTTTCGCTGAAAAACTCGTTTAGTAATACTTCTCCTCAGGCCGCGATCAGAACTATATACTACGGCGCAAACGGTGCGCATGTGCAACTGCAAAGGTAAACCAATGAATTCATTGTTTACGTGTTTCAGTTTAAGATGAGCACAAAACCCAAATCAAAAGACTGATTCAAATTTTGAATACCAACTTATTAATTTTTGTAATAAACTATTATTGTGATTGTGAAAATGTTAGCTTACCATTTATATACTTTTTGACGGTTCTCATAGACGAGGCCTAGCTTAATTTTAATGTATATTTCCATCTGTGAGCAGTATTGATTATAAAACAAGATTCGTTATCGTCAAGTACCGTATTGCTACCGTAACAAAGTCGGCTGTTGTCTAATTTCCCCCTATGCAGCTACAAATTTTATTAATCTCTTTACCTTGACATCAATTAACCTGAATGACACAATATGAGATATACAATTATATTAGTTTACTAAAGAAGACGCAACGCGTCTCCACATCAAAGTCAGCGATTTCTGTAAACATTATTCTAATGAATATTTGAATTGGCCTATAAGCATAAGTGGAGAAAACCCTTTTTAAATGTTATATGATTGAGCAATACCTATAACGTTACCGAAAGTATTTCCGGGACTATTAGCCTGTCCACAGTAGGCTTAAACCTAACAGGTATGCGACCAATTGGTCGAAATCCAGTTTGCCGAAACCCGGTTTGCCGAGTTTAGACCACTTTGCCGAAACCCAGTTTGCTGAATCCAGTTCACCGAAAACCTGAAATCCCAGTTGACCGAAACCCGGTTTGCCGAACCCAGTTTGCCGAATTTTGCCATCACCGCCGTACAAAAGCACAGCTCACACTATTATTTTGAACAAAATGTAATAACGGCAATTATGTAGGAAAAACTCTGTTTCTCACACCTTTACCGAGCCAACCAGTGATTTAGGCTTTTGAATCTTAGGCACCAATTTAAAATCTACTATATATATACTGTCTCTTATACACATCTAGATGTGTATAAGAGACAGCACATGTATGAGCGTCCTTATTTGAGCTAATGCGATTAATATTCTAAACATAACCGTCAGATAATGAGCATTTCCACTTAAATGTGCATTACAATAAACACTGGAATATTATTATACGTTCACTTAACTTCCATTAATATAATGTTGTAATTGCTAGAATGACATGAAGGGCTATTTGTCATTACGGCTGTCTCTTATACACATCTAGATGTGTATAAGAGACAGGTTCACATAGAAACTGCATATTATCCTCGGTTTAAGACGGTACAATAAAATGAACAAATACAAAATATGACGTCATCAAAGTTTGCTTGAAGGATCTTTCTAACCAGTACAAGCTCAGTTACATTTTGTATTCATTTGTTTAATACAATAAGAAAGAACAAACATAGGCCTATATATATACATATATATATATCTATATATAATAAATAATATATATATAATAAATATCAATTAAAACTTTACATCTCTGGATAAAGCAGAAAACAAAAGAACTTACGTTTTAAGCTTTCGACTATCACTGTAGTCTTGTTCACAATGATACACGATGGAAATTGCGTCATAGGGATTGTGACGTCAGCGGTGGGGCTGGGTGGGGC